TTTTTTTTTTTTGTTACTAAAGGGTTTGGTTTGTTATATTTATAAAAAATTGCTCAATAATGAAAGAGCTGATTGTTGAAGCTTTGCAGATGTTGGCTCTCGAACTTCTTCTTCTGCTTGTACTTCATAAAGCAGCTTCCAATGTAGTCGACCTCCCAGTTGGTGTTGAATCAAGGTATAAACATAATGAGGTTGCATTCAATAATATACTCTTTTTATCACACAGATAATTTAATGTTAGGAAAACCTTTTTTGAATCAATAATAAATTTGCTGTTTTGTAGAATCAGTTAAACAACAGACTTTTGAGTAGTTACCAAAAATTGGTCTATTGATTTCAAATTTATACATATTTATCGTTTGTTGTTATCTTCAGCGCCTGGAATTCGTTGGCCAGACAAGTTGGCGGTGTCAAAAGATATTACATCACTAAAAGTGAAATTATTAGTCAACAAAAAATAATGAGTGCTGCTAATACTCTTCATCTGGTACCAGATGGACCACCTCGGGTTTACTACCGACGAATTTTAACACCAATTTATGGCAGCGTACAAAGCTCGACTAAATCGTCTTGTGAAGATACATGCGGTTGTGAAGTATGTGACGTTGGCTGTATAACTTCTTGCGGAAAAGCTAAAGCTCGAGATGCTCCTACCGTCAAATACAGTAAAGGTTCTCAACCGCATCTTAGTCTCCGACATCACAAGCGTCATCATTCATAACAAAAAACCAAGACAAGTACTAAATTTAGCACTGAATTAAAGACTGAAAAAAGGTAGTTATCTGCATTCGCATCACAAGTTTTTTTTTTTTTTTTTTTAAGATTGCAGATTTTATAAAACAGTCATTTTTAACTTGTTTCTCTATTAACTGAATTACTTATTGTGTGAGTAAACGTAAATTAGGTTTATTTTACCAAGTGCTTTAAGTTTCCTCCAAAGTTATTTTCAAAAATTTGCTCTAAATTTTGGACTTTTTTTTATGTTTCAAGAGTGACCAATGTTGTACTTTTAGTGAATAACAAAAAATATCTATTAAATTTTAGTCTTTTTCATCGACAGATAAGCATTTTTTGTTCTTTGCCTAATAAACATATCTTTTTTTGCACTTATATTCCGCAATTTTTAAAATGTGATAGTTACACGTAGCAATTTTTAGGATTCACTTAAATTGACTGTATGTGAATAAAAATTGAAAAGTTGAAGGCACACTGAATCGTTTATGCAATTGCAATTTCCTTTTGTTTCAAAGTGTCTTATAACAACATTTATTCTTTGTCATCTGCCATCGAATATTCTAATTTTTCTGTTGTATTTAGAATGAGCTCAAATACCGCTAAATGCTTAATTTCTGTCTGTATTTTTTTTCAAATGATGTAAATATTAGAAAAATTAATAAACAAGATTACCCAGCATAACTATTCGTTCAGGAATCTTTAAAACTTTAAACTCGTAAAATAAACAGTAAGTAATTTGTCTAAATAATAAATTACAGAAATATTTTTAGTAAAAACAGCGAACAGGTGTATGCTATCTAGACAGAGGCAACTTGTAACTGCTGTTGCTTAATTATTCATATAGAACTTTCTTAAAAGTACAATAAAAATTCTAATAATTTTATTTTACTTTAAAATTAGATGAATACAAGATTTTGCTATAAGACCTTAAGAATCCAAAGTATAACAGAAAAACAGAAAAATGTAGATTGAAAGTCTAATAATTCTATTTAAAATTAATTTGGAATCGAGCAGAAAATATGACATTATACAAATTTTTTGTCTAGTGTACTAAGCTAAGCTTAAATCAACGCAGAATTGCTTTGTACGACTACAAGAACCCGAAGTGGAGATATTAGGCAGTAAAAGAAAAAATGAATTAAAAGTTTCTGTACATTTTTACAAACAGAACAGCTGCAAAATATCAGTTTTTCTAATTGTAAAACTGTTTCGAAAAGCTTTACAGTTTTACCTAATAATTATCGATACTCTGTGACTGGTTAAATGTAACATCGGTATTTAGAAAATATCAGAGTAACTCACTTATTCTTCAAAATAAAGAAATTTCAAAATTTAGAAATAAACTGAAGAGAAAAAATTAATTGAATAAATTGGTTTTTTTTTTAAGATAAAACAAAGAATTCAGTAAATAATTAACAACAAAAATAAAATTTTTAATTCCTTTTTGCTTCTGGTTTTTTTAAAACAAAAACATTAGTAGTTTGAGTATTTCAGTCCTTCCAGTGCTAGTTATAGGACATAAAAAAACGATATAGTACTTCAGACATAGACCTTTGTGCTAATACTGCTGAGATTATTCTCAATTGTTACATAGTCAAAAAATGCCTGCCTTTTTTTTACTTTTTCAAGAACTATACTTAGGCAGATCTGGAAATGTTAGAAGCGCCAATTTGGAATCGCAAACTCCTCAAAGCTGCTAAAAATTGGTGAGAGCGCTACAATGCATTCCACTTGTTTTTTCCGGGCCTAAGTTCTTAAAGATATCAGCAGAACTGCTTAGGTGCAGCAGTATCTCCAAAAACTAAAGAAAAAAGAGTTTTGTGAATAAAAGCCTAAATTTTCTGATAATACACAGATTAATTTATAAAGCAGAATAATCAGTGATATCATGACAAGAAGATTACCGGTAAAATCATAAACAAAATTCTTTCTTCCACGATCAAATTTAAATTTAATGTTTAAGAATTCTTTCCTACTTTTTTTCATTTTTTTGCTGCAACAGTTTTAAAAGTGTTTCAATTAGAAGGTAATCTCTACAAATTACTAAGCGCTAAAGGTTATCTGCTGTCTACAGTTAGTTTAAACGTTTACAATTGACGATTTTTTATACAGCGCTTTATCAAGAACCATACCAAAAATTTTTATATAACTGATACCACTTTCAAAGGTCTTCTTTAGTCTATATAACATAACTTTTACGTGTGCACTATAATGTCATAAAAGTCATAATAATGTAGTGAAAAATTAGTAATATAATCATATAACACTCGGCTGTAAAGAATTTATTAAATTAAGACACTATAAGATGAAAAAGTGTAAAAGAGGAGCAAAACAGATCAGAGTGACTGCAACAAACCAATTATTTTTTATATACTGTTTAGCAACCAAAATAAACCATTTGATTATATGTAAGTCTTTACGCTTGCTATGGTTTGATTTATATTTTCACTAATTTACGTTATCTCCTTGCTTACAGCACTTTATTAATATGAGTAAACTAGACCTGGTTTGAAACACGGCTCAAATTTTTGCAGATGAGCAAGACGAACGATAGATTTGTTCTATGCCAGCCTCTTTTACAATCTGTGTCTCCAATAGTCAAAAATACAAGGCAGAGAAAACAAAAAGAATTGCAGAATTAAAATAACAGATTTGAGTACCAAGAGGAAAAAAATTACTGGCTAAAGAGCAGTAGAGAATATGCGATATATTGGTGCTGAGATCAATTTATATTCTCCTGGCCTTTAAGCCGTTCAGGGTTGCCTGAAACCTAAAATTTTGAAAGAACCGTGTTTTTTGGCAAAAATCTTGAGTGAG